TGTGTGGCTGGGGCTAATATGCTCGCTGTATAACAGTTTAACAATTGCAGACTTTTGGGCGCTGCTGCTGTGGCTGCTGATGCTGCCGCTGCTGCCATGAATATTTCGGCATTGTCAGTGTGCGTGTTCTTTGTGTAACTTTTGTGTGGCAACCACAATGCAATAAAAATAATTCTTTTTATATATATTTTTTTGACTGTCTTTTGATTTAGCTATTTGAGCGAGCAATTGCTGCTCCAACCAACCAAAAATTATGCTATATACATGAGTAATATGTGCTCGTATGTCTTCCACACACGACTACACAAGCACACACACACACTCACACACACACACATTCACACACACACACACACTTCGAATGATAAATTTAATGCAATCTTGTAGCTTCAAGTAGTGCCAGACAGCATCACGTGAAAAGAGCTTAATTAAATTTTATTGCTTGCATTGACAACAATTCTCGTTAGTTTATTTGGAGCGGATGAAATGTGGATGATGCTCAGAGCTATCTCTGCTTCTGCATTTGAGTATTAGTGCTAAACGCATGCTGAAATAAATGAAAAAATATATATTTCACTTGAAATTAAATTTTAAAGTGAGTTTTGCTGAGTTTTAACTGCATTTTGATCCACTCAGGAGCTGGATTGGTTAATGTCTCGAGGTGCTTAATGCTTATGGCCAACGGGCATACTTTGGAGGCAAGTAAATCCAGATTTAACCCTGCCACATGCCACATGCCGCATGGCAATACCGTAAACTGCAGGCATAAGCTTTAATAACTGACTGAAGTCGCGTCGCTGCTGTCGTCACTTTAATGTCATTTTCATAATATGCCTCGAGCACCTTAGTATTTTTATTATCCCTTCGGCACTTCGGGTGCATCACTGACTTAGTAATTCTCCTGGCCAAGTTTTATGGCACATTTAATGCCGAGCTTTAGACGGTGGATTGGTGGGGGGGCGGGGGGTTTCCACGTTAAATCTCTTTGTAGCGCTTTGACTTCGCTCCTGTGCTGAACACTGACTGAGACTGACAGCGCAAATGCGTATTTAATTCCACTTGGGCTGCCAATGCCACGCCCATTTTGCCCATAATGCCGAGAATTGTTCTTGTTGTTGCTGTTTTGCTGATGCGCTCACATTAATAAATGTCACAATTCAGCTGCAGCTGATGAAAGCAATGTGTGAGCAGGAAAAAAGACATCTTCGAACATATTGCATACTTTTCAGAGAGTGTCTGGGCTGCTTAATGCCAAACTGACAAACTGACAGACTGACAGACTGTCAGAGGGACAGAACAACAGACTGACACTGGCATGACAAAGCTGATTGCGACATCGCTCTAAATTAATTAGACTTGTTCCTTTTTATCCACTTCACTTCCTTATCCCAGCGAAGCTCTGATAAGTTGCCGACAAGCAGCTTGCTCGACAATGGCAATTTTTCGTCGAAAGAAAAATGGTGGATTGAAGCGGCAAATGAATATTCGGTGGCAAGTTTAAGTGCGTGCCACGGGTTGTGTCTGTTTCTGTTGCGATAATCGGCTTAGATACGGCTTATGGCGTTGCGCAAATTGATAAATGTTGCAGACACGCTAAGCATTGCTTACTAATTGTTGGCACCACCGTGTCTCAATTAGCCTAATGATGCCTACGAATTCGAATACGATATCACTTTTCGATTGCCATCGCTACTGGGTTGCCATCTTCTTTTCTGCTTTGGTAAATGTTACAAATGTGCCAATAAAAGTGTTCAATGCTGGAATAAAAAGAAAAAGACTACCATTCACAGCAGCTAAGCCATCGCTTATATTGGCAACACATCCAGAAATGCACACACTTGTTTACTGTATTTTGTGTATGTGTCTTGTTGGAGTCTGCCTGTGTTGCCTGTGTGTTGCCTGTGCAAATTTGCTTGAGAGTTTAACATTTCAATTTGTAGCACAAAAAGACAAACAAAAGCCAAATGGGAAGTGCCCGAATGCTTTTTTGCAGTCAATACACAGCCACATCTTGGCAGTCTAGAGAAGATACTTTCTTGTAAAAATTATACAAATATAATCAGTTATTTGGCTTCGGCAGCAATACAATTATTTATGTCTTTACTTAATAAGCAGATTGTATAATATATGGTCCAAAAATGTAAATTGAGCGCAAAAAATATATAGTCCCAACCATCAAATTTATGCATCAAATAAAACTGACAATGCCAAAAAAATACATATACAAAAATTATAATTGCAGTGGTGTGCATAAAATACATTCATTTCTGCTTCACATAACTCAAATGTGCTTTAATTGAGTAAATTAAATATAATAAATATTGATAAGTACTCATAAAATGCAATTTGTCAATAATTAATTAATCATAATTTTCGCTCGCAATTGAGAGAATTTTAATAATGTTAAAAAACATGGACACACTCTAAAATGATCCGCTAAAAGATACCGTGTAACTCAACTGATGTACTCATATTAAATATGATAATCAACTAAATATTTATCAAATTTGCAGTTTACACTAAAATTGTGTATTAGTAGTATTGTGTTTTGTCCGAACCCTTATTAAGTACGGGGTATAGAAATATGCTATCTATCATTCATGAGAGATAAATTTGCATATGAATATCAATTGCAAAATGTCGACCAATTAAATGGCTGTAAATATTGAAAGACCCCACAAAAATGTGCCAGTTGAACAATGATGAAGGAGTTCATGTATGTTGGCTAACTGGTCGCCAAGAATTTAATATAAATTTATAAATCACTGCAATGCAGGAAAATGGCAGAGTGGTAAATTGTGTGCCAAGTTTTCAATAGAAGTCGTTTGGCTGCCAACAGAATCACCTAGAAATGTATGCGATTCTTTATTTGTGGCTGTAGCACTGCTGGAATGTGGCAGCGCCTTTTGCCACTTACGCTTCAATGCCTCGTCCAGTCATTGATATGCGAATGCACCCAAAACAAAAAAAAAAATGTTCAAATTAAAAACTCTCGACTGTGTGTTATCCAGCCACTTGAAAAGAGATTGCGAATGTCTAAAACGAAGGCAAAAAAATAAAGAAGAAAAGTTACACAAATCAATATTGTGCAATGGCATCAATTCCATAGAGTTGAGCAGACAAAGTTGGCCAGATTTAGGAGCCAACTGGTAACTATTTCAACTGTTGCACGCACTTTAAAATGCTGCTTGACAAATTCTAACTTGAAACTTTGTTTCGCAACTCGCCAAAGGGCGGATTAAAGGGGCAGAAGGGCCAACACACACGTTGGTAAAGTTTTTGACCAACTTGACGTTCCATTTCACATGGCTAATCGTCAAGTATATGCATTTACAACTGTCCAGGTGTCCGCTGTCCAGGGACAAGCCCTCTCAATGTCTGCTCTCATTAGAAACTAAGATAAACAAGCAAAAGTTTCGAAATCAGATGCGAGTAAAAACCAGCAGCAGAACAAACGAAATACATAAAAAAAAAGGAACTAGAAGGGAATGCATAGAAAAAGAAATAGTAGTAAGCAAATAGAAAAGCTGAAAACCACTTGAGCAAGTAGCAAAAGTTTTCCATTTATAACGAGCTCAGAGCCCTGTGCATAGACAGGGGGAGGGGTCGTTTTACGATGCGGGCAAAGGGGGGGCGCTGCATGTGGGTCCTTGCCAAGCATATACTAAGAATGGGTGTATCCTGCTGTCTCATTTGTTATGTGTGTCTCTCTTTGTGTCTGTATGTGTGCTGGCACAACTTTAAATGCGCGGTAATGAAATTGTTGGCAACAAATGTTGTCAACACTCACGCACACACACACGCACACACACACACACACACACACATGAGCAGGCATCAGAAATAGCTGCCGCCATTTTATGGCAGGATTCCGGTAAATGTTGTGGAGAATTCAGCAGGCATCCTGCAGATTTTCAAGAGTTTCGCAAAGCCAAAAACTTCTTCAACTCAAGTGTTACGCCCCCAACCAACAAGCGAAACAGTGTTAACTTGCCACAGAGAGAGAGGATTGGAGAGTGGTTGGCCACCTAATACATTAACAGGGGCAGACATTGCGAGTCAGCAACTTGTTTCGCAATAATCATATGAATGGCTAAGCGTTTGCAGTCGAAACGCCAAGATAGCAGCCATAAGATATGAGATATTTGCAAAGGCAATCGAATGGTTGCTGCAGTGTTGCCTTATCGGCAACAATGGCCTGCAATTTAATAGCTCCAGTTTACCCAAGTTCTCTAAATATTTGTGTTGTTTAAATCCCATTTTCATGGGTTGAGTGCATATAACTGTGAAGCAAATTCAACTGGCTTAAGCAAACTTTTGTGGCTTTAACAGTTTTCCATTTTCCATGGCATTGACTATAATTCAATTAAGATTTTAACATAGTTTTAGTAGTTTCTATCATATTTTCCGTGTGTAAAGTCTAATCGTTGCTGAGCTGAACCACGTTTCATGTACATTTAGCTGCTTTCATAACTGCTTATTCAATTGCCAGCTACCATTTCAGCAAGTTTGCAATAGTAGTCAAAAGGCTATAGCATATATCTGACTACTTTTTGAGTGTGTACAAACTATCTCTAGAATTCAATAGACTCGTTTCCTTTGAATCAGTTTGGTTTTTGAGTAATTAAAAAGCAGAGTGCATTTTCTACTTGCATTGGTTCGTTAGTTGGTTTTCGATTAATTCACTTGTGTCGGTAATTATGGACATGCCAATCAGCATCAATTTCAATGCGGTCCACTTAATCAATATGCATATTATGGCCACATTAATTTGCATTTGCACCAGCAGCATGAATTAAATCAGAGTCAATTGGTGTAACCAACACCAGCCAACTGAATTATTGAAATGAATAGCAAATAATACAATTAATGCACTCAAGCTTTTCATATTGAAGGGCTGTTGAGTTGAAGTTCAATATTTTGTTTAAATATTAGCAGACTTGGATATTGCTGTCAGAGAGCTGAACTGAACTGAATTGCCGCAGCTAAATTTTGAACGTTGTTCTTTAGTCGATGGTGAACAGTTCTCGTTTCGTGTTGTGTTTTTTCTAGTGACGATTTTGAAAAAATATTTTTTTGTGTCTAAATTTTTGTGTAACGTTTTTGTCCCGTCCGTTCATTATAAATATTATTTTTTTTTGTGTGTGTGTGATTTTTTTTTTTTTTTGAGTTTGTCTGAACTGTTGGTGCGCCGACATATTTGCTTGTGGCATCGCTAGTCTATTCTGAAAAATTGTGTGTTTTCTTAAATTTACGTATCCATATCCATAATGCAGAATCTCCGCCGAATCCTGTTGAAGGGCAGGACCAATCGCAGTTTGCAGGTGATAACCAAAATGTGCTACTCGTGCGGCAAGGAGGTACAACGTGGAAGGGGTCTTGTACTTGGCGTTTACCAAAGAGAGGGCAACAAGGAACTCAAGCTGACGACCAGCGCTGAGAAGTTCAACGATCGTGTTGGCGGCAAACTGATGGAACTGATATGCGAGACAAAGATCGATGGGCGATTGGGACGTGGCAAGGTGTTCAACAATATCGATATCGATTATCGGAGTGTTGCTGTCGTCGGCGTCGGCCTGGAGGGCATTGGCTTCAATGAGCTGGAGATGCTGGACGAGGGCATGGAGAATGTGCGTATTGCCGCTGGCATTGGTGCTCAAGCGCTGCAGACCGTCAACTGCTCTGAGATATCCGTGGATAGCATGGATTATGCCGAGCAGGCTGCCGAGGGTGCTGCCCTTGCCATCTGGCAATATACCGAAAAGCTGAGCGTTAAATATCGTCCAGTTATGCCCAAGCTGGACATGTATGACTCGGCCGATATGGATGGCTGGATGCGTGGCATGTGCAAGGCCGAATCACAGAATCTGGCGAGGCGATTGAGTGATGCACCCGCCAACTGTATGACACCCACCTTGTTCGCCCAGGCCACCGTGGATGCACTGTGTCCGTGCGGCATCACCGTGGAGATACGCACCATGGACTGGATTGAGCAGCAGCGCATGAACTCGTTCCTGATGATTGCGAAGGGTTCGTGTGAGCCGCCAGTGCTGATGGAGATCAGCTATTGCGGCACCGCACCCGAGGACAAACCCGTCATGTTCCTTGGCAAGGGCATCACATTCAATTCGGGCGGCATCAATCTGCGTAAATGCGACGGTATGGATGAGTACCGGGGTAGCATGTCCGGAGCTGCAGCCTGTGTGGCAATGATGCGTTGCGTTGCCGCACTATCGCTGCCCATCAATGTGGTCGCCATTATACCATTGTGCGAGAATTTGCCGTCGGGCATGGCTACAAAGCCCGGCGATGTTTGCACTCTGCTCAACGCAAGATCGATGGCCATACGTGATCTGGACAAGGCGGGCGTTGTTGTTATGGCCGATCCAATGATCTATGGGCAGACAACATACAAGCCGCGACTGGTCGTCGATGTGGCAACGCTTGGCATGGGCACAAAGAAAGCCTTTGGTGGCGGTGCCACTGCCATCTTTTCCAATTCTCACTATATCTGGAAGCAGTTCCAGCGCGCCGGATCCCTTACTGGTGATCGGGTATGGCGTCTGCCACTGTGGCAATACTATAAGAAGCAGGTGACCGACGAAACCGGCTACGATCTGAGCAACGATGGACGTGGCTTGGCCAGCTCTTGCCTGGCAGCTGCCGTCCTCCATGAGTTAGTTCACTGCGCGGACTGGGCGCATCTCGATACTCGCGGCACCGGCTTGATCTCTCAGTTTGGCCTCATACCCTATCTCACCAAGTTCCGGATGACAGGTCGACCAACCCGCACACTGGTTCAGTTCCTCTACCAGTTGGCATGTCCAGAGCCAAAATAACCTACATGCAGTTGTACAGCAACTCTTGGCTGTGAGCCATTTTTTAGTTATGGGACTTCAAATTGATGTGGTTTTATGGACTTGAAAGAGCCGACACAAAGGAAAACAATAATCATATGAATAACAATAATAATGTGAACAACTCTTATAAATATCTCTGTGAAATTGAAGTGTTTTTAATTGGATTATCTGGTTGAGAAATGGTGCTTTCTATTTATGTATGCCTTGCTTTCAGCTGAAAGTTAAGATTGTCCTGTGGTTTTCATTTCATTGGATCTTTGAAATGTACTTAAACCAATTGAGATGCCACACGACGATGTATGAGCAAAATATGCAAGCCAATTACTTGGACGCATTTGTGGGTGTTTGTATATTTTATGGAGCACTTCATTGGAGACTTTTATGTACCTGCTACAACCAATTATACAAACAAATTTGCAATTTTCACACAGGCATTTGCACGTTTGACACGTTTAGGCAATATACCAGTGTGCCCAAACCCGAGGCGTGTCCTTGGCACTGCTAAAGGATATTTTGGCTTTATCCAACATCCAACGGCAGTTGACTTCAGCCTCTCAGCTTTTGTTGATGAAATTGCTGCAGGATATTACTTTGAATTATCATAAATAACAGCGAACAGCACACACACACACAACTATGTATACTTGCGTGTGTGTGTGTGTGTGAGTACGTGTGTATTCTCGTGTCTAGAAGAAGCAGGTGCTTTCTGGTCGGTTGTCTGCGATCAATTTTGGAAACTGTCTTTATCCTCACTTTGTTTATGATGAGCTTACTCATATTGATGTGAGTGTGTGTGTGTGTGTGTGTGTGTGTGTGTGTGTGTGTGTGAGTGTTTGCTTATGTGTTTGTGAATTCAATAATGTCGACTGAATGTGTTTATCAGGTAATCGTGTTGCTCTTGCTGAACGGCTGCTGATGAAATGGTGAGTGGGCTCAAGTCATGCAGTAGATTAGGCCCAACTGGTGGTGGTGGCAACTGTTTATGCCAGCTGGTTAAGGGCCTCAAATGGGATTGCTTTCAACCCTACTTAAATGCTGGCTATATTATTTAAGGTCTCGGTAAATTTAAAAAGAAAAACACCAATTACAAAACAAAAAAATACAATTCGAATATGTCTCTTAAATATCTCCAGAGGAATGTTCATTCTTGCTGTCGCATCCCAAACTGATTGAAGTAGATTTTAATTGGATTTTTGTGCGACTGCAGTTGATTTTGCGCTCTGCACAACACTTCCGTTCCATGGTATTAACAATCCTCGCCCATGATCCACTGACCAGACCATGTTTATATATACTGGTTACACACACACACACACACACACACACACATCTGCTGTGACATTTATGAAAGTACTTCAGCTGTCTGTGTGTTGGCCAGACACGTGTTGGCCACAATTTAATTTGCAATACGCCAAATGGTTGAGCTGCAGGCTTATGGCCATCGTTTATATGCACATGGCCTTAATATCATTTTATCGGCTTTTAATGCAATAAATGTAAGTGTATTAAAAACCATATTTGTATCAAAAATATGACAAGATGATGACAAGAGAGAAAACAGCATTCATTTTTGAGTAAATTTCCATGCAAGTTCCATGAAAATCTAAGAACTGCTTAAGTGTATACTCAACTTGGATATTTTGTAAGTACGTATTGTGTTTGGCATATCAACGAAATTAATGTGATTACTAGACAAAGGGCATGGGTTGAGCATATTGTTGGCTTTACTGTTTTGTCAGCCAACAATAATTTGTTTCTAAACAATGAAAATTCAATTACAGTTGCCTTTCAGGCCGCCACTCAAAACCATATGAGCCACAAAAGCCACAAGAAAAGTTCGCTTTGAATACGTATACGAGCATGTACATGTGTGTGTGTGTGTATAAAGCAAATCCTGCACAGAATCCGACCTTTGCCTAGGACTCAACAAAGAACATCCCTTACATCCCTGCTTGCTTTAAAGCAGCCGTTGGATCGAAATTGTTGGGACCTTCTTCTGGGGGCTGACTTGCGCTGATGGGCTGAGCAAAAATGGGCTGGATAAAATAAGACATTGAGTATATATACAAATTGAGGGTTTACCGTAATATTTTTGATTTATTGGATTTCCTTAAATCACAAGAAATTAGAAAATTGTATTTTTAATAGCAATACTATCAATTTGTAACACAAGATAATTTAGTACTCACTGAGACCACATATCATATATAGCATATATCAGGAAAATGTATGAGTCAAACTGATAATTTTCCGATTCTTTTTTTTCGAATTCCGCCCCTTAATCAAATGGATGGCATGCAAATGTGATTTCCTGGCGCCATCATTCAAGCGACGACTGTTGGCCAAACTAAGTTTTCTGAAAATAAATCAAATTGCCAATCACATCAACTTGAGAGCAATTTTTTTTTAGTTGTTTTTTTTTTTTTATTGACCTTTTAGTCATTTATCAAAGCACGTTGAGGAGGAGTTTTGCCCGTCCAGGCATGCATATGACACAGTTAGCAGCTCCGGGTTAATATTGGTCTTAACGAAAGCACATTTAATTAAGCTCGACGAGTGTCGAACTAAGTCCGAGTAGGAAGCTTAACAGAATCAACTAACTAGAACCAAACTCTCTCGGCGATTTACGGCGGCAAAGAGGGCATAAAGAAAAGGACATGGAAAAGGACGAGGACGAGGACGAGGGCGAGGACGTGTCAGAGTTTGTGTTCGACAACAACAACAACGAAGTCGAGAAGGATGACGACACATTGCCAAAGGCAATAATCGCAATTTAATATTCATGACATTCTCGCAGTCAATGTATTTTCAAAGTGTTGCCAGGAGCTGCAACTGGGGAAATACCAAGGAAAGAGTCCTGCCAGTGCTGTGCTTAGTACAGCCGACAAGTATTTCCAGCTCAAAGTGATTTATGTGCTCATATTCGACGAGAGGCGAGAGTTCATAAATATCAAATTAGGTTGAAATCTCCAAAGAGATACTAAAATTACTTAGCATGGTGGCAACATTATTCGATTATTTAATAGTACTAATGCAACAGATAAGTGTGTGGTAATGGAGTTGTTGTGGAAAGGGAAAGGGTTCGCAATTAAAGCACCAGGCTGATGGCATGTCTGCTATGTTTATACAAAATATATATTTTAAATGGGAATTTTCACAAGTTTAAGTCAAGTTGGCATTTGTAAAACTGGCATATAGAAATCTATTCAGACTTCGTTAGCATATTTCTGAATGTTGAATTTTTTGTCGCCTTGCATTTTATATGTGGAATTGCCTAGGCATTTGTTTGCTCACTGTCAAGTAACGAAGCCAATTCTCCCCTGATAGTAACATTCCTGACACTCCCTGCTCATCTGTTATTTATCATCTTGTGAGCTACCCTTATGCGAGAGACCGCCTTATTACAATACTGTTTTCACTTTTTGCATCAACTTTTCAGACCCTTCTGTTTGCTTTATTCATATTGTTTTCTGTTGTTTTTTTTTTTGTTGCTGTTTTTTTTTCTTGCTCTGTTTAACTTCCGCTTTGAGGCACACTGCCTTATGGTGGCGCTACTTAATGATTTGCTTTCTGCGATAAGCCCAAAGCAAGCGTTCTGCTTGTGTAGTTCTAGCCATAGTTTCGGCCCATTTCTGCTCTTTGCTGGCAGCCTGTGAAATTTATGAGTACTTTTGGCAGCCAACTTCGATTTTCATTCGACAATTGTTTTCTCAAACTTCTTCGTCTTGCGCCAGTTGTGTGGCGTTATCGAAGCATCAGCTGTTTATGCTGATTGGGGTATTAATAATAGAAGTCTGTGCTAACTGATTACTGGCGAGAGACCAATATGCCTGGGGAGTGAAAGCGGAGAGACGAGAAAGGAAAGTGGCGAACGAGCTTATCAATTGTGGTCATATCGTTGAAGCGGAAATAAATTGGTTTTTCATAAGTCATATAACAAAAGTCTTTGTGGTTGTGAGCCAATCTCGGCATTGTTTAGCTTTAGTCTATTGTTTGTTTGTGGCATACTTTCAGCCGTTCCACACGGAGCAAGCTTGACTGAATTTCGAAAGTCGAAAAGGACTTGTTTGCTGGTCCAGTCACGAAACATGCAAATGATTTATGATGCCAAAATTTTGAAGTCCCCCAATATTTTTTTTTTTGGGCCGCCTGGTGGCCATAAGCAGTTTGACTTATTGACATAATAGCGTCGAGTTTTTAATATAAACTAACAGGAGCTAATAATTGCCAGCAGTCACATGATTTATGTACTTCATAATGGCCAAAACATAATTTGCTTTTTGCGTCAACATTTGCGCAGGCGTCACTCTAAAGAAATGCATAATTAATGATGGAAATTAAGAGCAAATTTGCTAGTCCAGACTAGCTCAAGCTCAATCTACACGACTCTTTGCAAAACATTTAATTGCACTCGAGAATGTCCGCAAATCCTTTTGCATAAGTAAAATCTGCCACTAGAAAATCACACTTAAAGGCAATGGCACAAAAACGTCGCATTCGCTTCCGGCGGAGCTGTCCGGCTTCCACGTGCAGCTGTCCGGTTCTCTACAGCTTAGCTGGGAGAGCGCAAAACTCAAAAGATGCCAGGACAGGAAAATCAGCATGCTTTTTACTTATACCAATTATGCAACGCTTTAATTATTTCATTTGGACTTTCAAGTTATACTTGATAGTGAAATATATCGCAGACTATCTATTAATGTTTACTAATCTATTACAGTGTATATATTTAGATAATTAATGCAGTTAGCTTACCATGTAAATATACAATTGTTGTAGGAATATTCATTTATAAGCACAAGCAATTGTACACTCAGAAAAAAAGAAACGAATAGGAAGAAATATTTTATAAATATATGAATATTTTGTATAATTATAAAGACTTCTTTGCTATTTTTCAGAAATACTTTCCTGAATAATATAAAATAAAAACCTTTCTTTGTAGAGAAAACCCTTTCGGCAAGTCAGAAAATGGTAATGAAATTAACTTTTATCTGATTTTAGAGTTTAGCTGCTCTTTGCTCTATATTTCAACTGGAAGTCTTTCTCATCTTAAACCACATATTTTTCATAACTATCTAAACATTTTGTATGTAGGAAATCATAAAATACCAATATTCAAGCAACAAAAAAACAAAACTCTA